AGTTTAATGGATGCTTCCTTCTGCACTTTCTCTCAGGACAACAGGGCAGGTTTGGTTTTCTCTTTGAGGGGAATAGTTTTGTTGAAGCTGTTGTTGGCCTGTGGGGAAATGTACTCATAAGAAATGACTCTGGAAAAGCTGCAGATAGAGCCATAAGAAATGAATGCAACTGATTATTTAATGTTTAATGTTGTTTTTATAGGCAATAATTTAAGCTTTGTTAGTTCCAGGTTTAATATGTGCAATAAGTTCATTTCAATAAGTTCTGCAATAAACACTGAACCAGTCCGGCTCTCGACTAGTACACATTTTTTAATTTTTGACCCACTGTGTATTTGAGTTTGACCCCCCTGCTGTAAAGGAACTACAGCACAGTCACATGACATTACATCATTTCATTTTAAACAAATAAATACAATTTAAAAAAAACATGCAACATACATTACTGGAATACTTAAATAAAAAACAGAACAATAAAACAAAACAAAAAATAACATGTTTAAACACAGGTAGGCAGTGTAGACAGACACTGGGTTGTAAGTAAATAAGTTCTGCAATAAACATTGAACCAGTCCGGCCCTCGACTAGTACCAATTTTTTTATTTTGGCCCACTGTGAGTTTGAGTTTGACCCCTGGGTTACATCGTTAACCTGGTGGTTCAGCCTGATGACTACAGACAAAAAAGTATCCGAGGCGCTTTGCCAATATATATCAAACGAGTATCCAAAGACAGGGTTCCTGCCATGGATGTATAATAAGAATACATAAGAACTGGATACAGCGTGGGAGGCGGGACCTCATTCATTCCTATGAGAGTTGCTCATTAGCGCATGATGATAAAATGGCCCAACTTTTGAGAGAGCGAAACGTCACAGATTACCCAGCATGCCTGAGAAGTACCCGTATGTGCGCTCATAGCGCATGTGCAACTTTAACCAAAATGCTCGTTCACATCAAGCACGTCAATTTGCGTACACGTAACAGCACCGCACGTTCATGACAGCATGGTAATGATTTGTTATTATGATGGATTTGATATTAACGAGGCGGCAGTTAGCAGCTAGCGGCTAGCTAGTAATTATGCTAATGTACACATCAATCGTTATGTACTTATATTACGCTGTAACAGGATCTAGTGATATCCAACAGAGCTTCATTTAGCATGAAATAATTATTGCACTGTAGGCTATATATATGTTACGTTCCCTATTGGGCTAAAGGGACACGACACGACCAGATTGGATTTGGTATATGTTACCAGTGGTTTATTTGTAACCCAAAACAATGAACACAATAATACACGAACAGCCTGGACCAACAACGGACCAAACTGTTATGATTTAACAAAAAGGGGAACTCCAAAAGGGAGTTGCACAATATAATACAAAATAAAGAAAGTACCTCACTTCTAAAGTGGAACGAAACACTAAACAAAAGGAGGCTGTGTGGGAACACAGCTGTTGCTGATCAACCGGTGCTAATCACCGGGGTCTAAGCAATACTTTCACAAATGCTGATCTACAGGCGCTAAGCTAACCTGGGTCTAAGCTGTTTCATAATGTCAATATCCTAAATGCGGTTCTACATAGTGCTGCGTACCGGTACGCCGAACCGGTACTGGACTTGTAAAACGTTTCGGTTCAAGTCCGGTTAAAACCGGAACGTCGGGAACCGGTACTTGGACTCGCAAAAAAACTAGCACTTACGTATATTCTGGTGTCTGTGGTTATTTAAACATTCCCTGATAAACGTTATTCAGCGTCAATACATGAGTGCTAATCACAGTGTGCTCAGTGTACAACATCACATATTTCACCTTCGATTCACGGTTTGAAAACGTAGTATTTCGCCACATGCTAATGCAAACCGGAAGTGAAGAATTTTCAGAATAAAAGTATTAAATAGTGTGAACTTCCGGTTTTTTCAGAATAAAACTGATTTAAATTAAATAGTGTATTTAATTCAAAATTACGCCATATCAACATTGATTTTAATTTCTAACAGTATGTATGTATATCACTATTTATGTAGTATGTACTGTATAATGTACACATGTAGAGTTGTAGAAAATACATGGTGTACAGACAGTACAGTACACTCTGACTGTACAGTCACTACAATGTAGTCTATACTGTATAGTAGGTGTGTAACAGTGTAATGCGTATAGTCTACTACTCTACACTCTACCTTTCAGCAACGTTTTAGGGATTTAGGCTCAGTCAGCTCAGGGACTGTTTGGTTACTTTAGTTTGGTAAATGAAATAAATGTTTGAACTTTGTAGTAGTTCACTGTAGTTGCTGTCATAAGTCATTTGTAGACTAAGTGGCAAAAAGTGTTTTTTTTACATTTGTACTTTGTAGAGAAATGTAGACACAAGTTGGAAGGGAGCACAATAAACCTGATGAGTTTGAATTTTAGTTGATTATGAGTTCATTTTCAATTGATAATTAGCTCACAATAAGTTCACTTTAGTTACTCACACAACTTGACACAAGCCATGGGTTCAGGTCCGGACTTATAAGTCCGGACCTGAACCTGAACCTCTGGACTGGAGTCCGGACCTGAACCTGAATGTGAGTCCAGGTACGCAGCACTAGTTCTACAGGAGCTAAGCAACCTGGATCTACGCAATACACACACACAAACCCTATACTAGACACAGCATACTACGACACACTGCTAATCAGTGTGCTCGCACAGAACCCTACTGAACACACTGCTAGGCAGTCTAACGAAGCACAGAATACACACTGCTAGGCAGTCTAAGGAATCACAGAAATGGCCTTGTCACAATGAGAGGCTTGAGGCGTCTGTCCCACAATACAGAGCCTCCAGAATGATGTCCGTGCCCCCAGAATGATGTCCGTGCCCGGCCTATATACTCCTCCCCCGGATGACGTGGCAGAAGCGGGCGGGGATTGGGTGACGTCCGTCCAATCACCGTGGATGTTGCGAGGTCGGGACGGCCAATGACAGCAGAGGAACTGCACAGCTCATTTACATACCCACACACAAGCAGAGTTAAGGGCACAAGGTAACAGCGGCTGTAACAATATATATACTTAGAATAATAAGTAATATTAACTATTTAATTCAACATTTACGGTAAAATATTTAATCATACAGCCCATGTAGTATGATAATGAATTACAGCAAACATGTGCAATATATCCATTATTACAGCTCCGTGGGGTGGCAGTGAGACGATATGGATCCGTTCTTATTGTGCATCCATGGGTAAAGATAAACGCAACTCACATTGGTTCCTCATACAGCATCTCTGTAACCTACGTGTATTCACTGAATTTCACTCTCTGCCTTAAACGGCTCGTTGTAGCTCCAATAGCTCCAGCCCCCACCCTCCCTGTGAGCACAGTGTGCTCTGATTGGTCGGGACACGTAACATGAACGTGCCGGGCGGCGCGGTCCCGTGGGTTAGATGCGCGTTCATAATGCAGAGGGAAATAACTCTCAGAATAACGTTATTAGCACATTTTTACAACTTGAGGAACGAATGTTTTTAATAAGGGCTAATCTGAGGCCATGGTTCTCAGCAGGAAACCGATGGACTGTCCACTTCAAGTAGGGAATGAGTCCTTACCCCAAGTGAAGGAGTTCAAGTATCTCGGGGTCTTGTTCTCGAGTGAGGGAACAATGGAGCGTGAGATGGGCCGGAGAATCGGAGCAGCGGGAGCGGTACTGCAGTCGCTTTACCGCACCGTTGTGACGAAAAGGGAGCTGAGCCAGAAGGCAAAGCTCTCTGTCTACCGGGCCATTTTCGTTCCTACCCTCACCTATGGTCATGAAGGATGGGTCATGACTGACAGAACGAGATCGCGGATACAAGCGGCCGAGATGGGTTTTCTCCGCAGGGTGGCTGGTGTCTCCCTTAGGGATAAGGTGAGAAGTTCGGTCATCAGGGAGGGACTCGGAGTTGAGCCGCTCCTCCTTCGCGTCGAAAGGAGCCAGTTGAGGTGGTTCGGGCACCTAGTTAGGATGCCACCTGGGCGCCTCCCTAGGGAGGTGTTCCAGGCACGTCCAGCTGGGAAGAGACCAAGGGGTAGACCTAGGACCAGGTGGAGGGATTATATCTCTTCGCTGGCCTGGGAGCGCCTTGGGATCCCCCAGTCAGAGCTGGTTGATGTCGCCAGGGAAAAGAAAGTTTGGGGCTCTCTGCTGGAACTGCTACCCCCGCGACCCGACCACGGATAAGCGAGAGAAGATGGATGGATGGATGGCTATACAAACGTTCATACTGGGTAGTTTATTTAGTTTAAAAAAAATTATCCAACGAGTTACAGACCACTCTTTCCCCATGTAAATCAATGGGAAAAAGTATTTCCGGGCCTGGCAACCAAACGGAAGTGTAGTACCCCCGTTTGGCCAGCACGAATATTTCCGGCGCACTTCCTGGGGGCTTGCTTCCTGCAGGTTTCACCAATGTAAGACCTTTTAAAACCACTTTGAATGGAATTTAAGACCTATTTCACGGCAAGAAAGTATGAAGGAAAATTGCTAAGAAAGTGTGTGTGTGTGTGTGTGTGAGACATGTGGAGAATTGAAGTAACTTGAAAGTTTGAAGTGAAAGTTTGATACAGCGTATTCCTGGTATATTCATCTTAATCTTAATGTCCCCTGATATATAAGAAGTGTGTTTTTATATATTCATGTGTGTACTTAATTACTTTGTATCAATAATAATAGTCTGTGTAACAAGGAAGTAATATATGAGGAGTAAAACCATTGTATTTGGAGTAAGAGGTGAGCAAGGGAATATTCTTTAGACACAACTCAAGCCTCTGGAATGTGCAGAAAGGGTGTGTGTGTGGATGAAAGCTGCAGTAATATGAGACAGCTAGAGACTCTTGTTTCCGGGACCTTTGCTGGCTCGCGCTGATTCGCTACGACACGCCAGCTCCTCCTGTTTTGGTTTTAGTATGTAAGCCTGTTCTGTTTTAGGTTCGCTCTCTCTTCCTCCGGCTGACAAGACAAGTAAGTTAGATCTCCCGGCGGGAGCCAGGGTAATCCGGATTACTTCGTGATGTTGTGTTATTGTATCTTTTGCCATTAAATCAGCATATTTGTTATAACCTTACCAATGGTTGCTGTGAATTCTTCCTCTGTTAATCTGACCCATTCACAAAAGGACGCGCAGAAGGGGGCCTTAGAGCCCCCGCCAAAGAATGACGTCTGCTACAACAGACAAGAGCTATATTCAGAGCTCTGCTGCCTTGGCTACAATCTTTCATCGTTGCTGTTGTATGATTGATGTTTAGCTACGGTATTTAGCGTCTACAGCACCTCCGCAATATTTAAGATTGTGAAGATAACTGATTGAATCAAACTGGGCCACTTTGATGGTAAAATTGAGATCTATGGATACATCTCTCAACATAGATGGTTCTGGTCCACGCTCCAATACAGGAGGTGGCGGTAAGGCAAGAAGAGGAAAAGTTCACCCGGAAGTCAGCCTCACGTGTTTCCTTCATTTCTCCACGCGTATTGTGCGGTAGAAATCAAGACAGGAGCTAATTTATCCAAACAAGAGGAGACAGTTCACTAAACAGGTGAGTAAACATGTTTTAAACTGTCGGTTGGTTTGAGTATTTTGAATGTCGCAGATTCTAACGGTTTTTAACGGATGTTTACTTAGCCTAAAGTGTTGGTTGCTAGTCGATGTTAGCTTACTTAGCTTGTCTTAAAATCACCAATACAATTTAATAGTTCGTGTTTTTATTTTTTGTACATGTGTTTAGTTGTAGTTGGTGGCATTAGGGATCTATTTCAGTTCATTTTATTACGTAATGTAGTGCTTTTACCAGAGCGCTAGCTGTTGTTTAGCTAGGTAGGCTAACCGAAAACTGACCAGACTTCATCTTAAAGGAGTTACACACGGGTAGTTTGAGAAAAATAAAGACAATTAAATCATGGAAACAAGTTTCAGGAGAGACAGTAAATACCAGTGATGTAAAGTAACTAAGTTTATTTACTCAAGTACTGTACTTCAGCACAATTTCGAGGTACATTTGTTACTACGACTTAGGTAAATCATGTACTTTTCCTCCATTAGATGTATTTAATACCTTTTAGTTACTTCACAGATCTGGCTGAATTATGTGAAATCTAATCAAGTGTTAAATCAGACTTTAGTTCAACCTGGAGTAAATCCACAAGCTACCCTGCAGTATACAAAGTCATTCAAACTAGCTGCACCTTTACCAGCTTTGAGAACACTTTCATGATCAATCATTATAAAACCTATCATATATTATTCTGAAATGGACCAATCTGCACAATGACTATCAATCAATCAATGTTTATTTATATAGCCCAATATCACAAATGTTACATTTGTCTCAGTGGACTTCACAGTTTGTACAGAATATCAGTATGACAATACGACACCCTCTGTCCTTAGACCCTCACATCGTACAAGGAAAAACTTCCGGAGAAAACCCACAGTTTAAAGGGAAAAATGGGAGAAACCTCAGGGAGAGCAACAGAGGAGGGATCCCTCTCCCAGGACGGACAGAGGTGCAATCGATGCCGTGTGTAAATTGAAAAGATAATACATTTACAACATAGGTAGTCCAAATGTTTGGAAATGCATGTGTGTATAATAGGAAGATGAATCCACAAGGATATCCATCCAGGACTTATGATCCAGGACCACAGCCACGACTCAAGATCCAGGGCTCGCGATCCAGGACCGCAGGATCATCCATGACTCCGGATCCCGGCGTATATAGACACCAAAAAGAAATAAATTTGGGGAAGCTGGGTTATTCCGAACATGAGAGTACACAGGTATAGACAGAGAGAAGGAATAAGTAAGGTGTCCCCCGACAAACTAAGCCTATATCAGCAAAACTAGGGGCTGAATCTAATCAGCCCTAACTATAAGCTTTATCAAAAAGGAAGGTCTTAAGCGCACTCTTAAGAACGGATATGCTGTCTGCCGCCCGAACACAAACTGGAAGCTGATTCCACAAATGTGGAGCTTGATAAGAAAAAGCTCTGGCTCCCATTGTACTTTGAGAGACTCTAGGAACAGCCAACAACCCTGCATTCTTGAAACACAATGCCCTAGTACAGTGGTTCTCAAATGCCAGGGGGGGCGCGAGAGACCAGGAGGAAAAATGGTTAAAACATTTTTTTTTAAATCATAAATTGAAAAATTATTTATTCGAAAATAATATGATGCAGTACAGTACTATTACGTCTAGGTCTCTGTGTTTCATTAAAGCTCGGCTCTGTGTGTGTGTGAAACGAGCCATTTTGTGTGCGCGAGAGAGAGAGAGCGCACCGGTACCGGAGATCGCTGTTGTTAGCTTCTGGTGCTAGCGAGCTACGCTAACGGATATAAGGAGTTTTTTCAACAACAAAGTGGAGGAGAGTCCTCTCCTGTCAGACTGAGAGACTCGGTGAGCTAAAGGACTCTCAGTGTTTAGATAGTTAACTTTAGTCTAAGTTATCTCAGTGGGTCTCAAACGTTTTGGTCACGATTAATGTAAACAATTATTTCCGAGGCACACGTTTATATGATCATTATAGTTATAAAAAAATAAGAGAATAAATGAAAAACAGGTATGAAATACTATATGACATTAAAACAAGAATAACGTTTAAAAGGGTGATTTGTAAAATATCCATAAAGAAAAAGTAAATCTGTTTACAGTTCTGTTTCATAGGTGTTGAGAGATGTATCCATAGATCTCTTTATTTTGCTCTCAAAGTGCACTAGATTGATGCTTTTAACTTCAATATTTAAAAATAAATCTTCACACACCACCTATAAAAATAGCACTTGACCCCTGCTTACACCTATATGCCGTGAGCTGATTATCGAGCCTTCATTGTAACTGTCACACTGTGTATGTGCGTGTGGAGTGTTGCAGTAGAACATTCCACTGTAGCGACCGGTACCTTAATGGGAAACCCTAAATGTCTGAGCACCCTCTATGAAACGTCAAGCTACCCCACAGCACCCCCAAAACAAATCTCTGGCGCCGCCACTGAGCCTGACTATTTGTGTTGGGGGGGCCCGACTTTTTTTTTTCTCCAAAGGGGAGGCCTGACAGAAAAAGTTTGAGAACCACTGCCCTAGTAGGACAGTAGGGTATAATGAGTTCTTCAAGGTAAGATGGCACCTGCCCATTAAGGGCTTTGTAGGCGAGAAGAAGAATTTTAAATGATATCCTTTGTTCTATAGGGAGCCAGTGTAAGGCAGCCAGAACAGGAGTAATGTGGTCCCTTTTCCTAACTCTGGTTAGTACACGAGCTGCAGCATTTTGAATCAGCTGAAGCAACTTGACTGACTTCTTGGTACACCCTGATAATAAAGAGTTACAATAATCCAGCCTTGAAGTAACAAATGCATGGACTAGTTTCTCTGCATCGTTTTGAGGCAAGATATGCCTGATTTTTGCAATGTTACGTAGATGGAAGTAGGCGGTCCTTGAAATTGATTTTATGTGGGCGTTAAAGGATAAATCCTGATCAAATATAACACCAATATTCCTTACAGTCTCACTGGAGGCCAAATTAATGCCATCCATAGTTAGTATATCTTTAGATAGTTTGTTTCGTAGATTCTTCGGGCCGAGTACAATAACTTCAGTTTTGGTCGTGTTTAACATCAAAAAGTTTAAGGTCATCCACGTTTTTAAGTCCTTGAGGCAGTCTTGAATTTTATTTAAATGATTAATTTCATCATGCTTGATTGATAAATATAGTTGAGTATCATCCGCATAACAATGAAAATGTACAGAATGATTCCTTATAATATTGCCTAACGGAAGCATATATAATGTGAACAAAATAGGTCCGAGCACTGAGCCCTGTGGCGCTCCATGGCTAACTTTGGTTTGCGTGGAAGTTTCATCGTTGACACGTACAAACTGAGAGCGTTCAGATAGATAGGACCTAAACCAGCCTAAAGCAGTTCCCTGTATGCCAACTAATGGCGCGTTTCCACTGCAGTGGGTAGCCCCGTTTAAGCGTCCTTAACCGTCCTCAAGCGGCCAGGCCGGTTTTTGGTGGCGTTTCCATATAGCCTAGTACCGGCCAGCGGGTACTTTTTCCCTCTTTTTCCGGCCTCATAAAATCGTGGTTCCCTCAGACCAGGGCCAGGGCTGAACTAGTGACGTCAACACTCTCGACTGCTGATTGGTCAGAGAGAATCGTCACAAGATTGCGCGTGAGTTCATCCCTAGCGTCGCATATATATCGAGAAGCAAGCTTGCAGCATTTTTATAAACAGCATTTTGTAAACGGATGAGCTACAAAAATGGCTACGTCTAATAAGAAAAGCACACCGAGGTCGACCGAGGAGGTGACGACGTTCCTACATCTCATTGGGGATGATCAAATCCAGCGGGAGCTCGACGGAACAACTCGAAATGTGAACAAAAACAAAGCCGATCGCCCCGCCTACACTGCGTTGCTACCCCAGGTCCTAAACTGTAATGGAAATGCGCCACGGCCTGGGCCGGCCAGCGAGGCAGCCCGAGGCCAGAGCGAGGACGCTTAGGGACGCTTAAACGGGGCTACCCCGCTGCAGTGGAAATGCGCCATAAGTGCTCTAGTCTTTGCAATAAGATATCATGGTCGATAGTATCAAATGCAGCACTGAGATCGAGCAAAACAAGAATAGAGACAAGTCCCTTCTCAGAGGCTATTAGAATGTAATTTGTGACTTTAACCAGAGCTGTCTCTGTGCTATGATGTGTTCTAAAGCCAGACTGAAAATCTTCAAATAAATCATTGTTTTTTAAGTAATCACACAACTGTTTTGTGACCGCTTTCTCAATAATTTTTGAGAGGAACGGAAGATTAGAAATAGGTCTATAGTTGGCTAAAACCTCTGGATCGAGGTTATGCTTTTTAAGAAGCGGTTTTATCACTGCTACTTTGAATGATTGTGGAACATAGCTTGATAATAAAGACATATTCATAATATTTAATAAAGAAGTGCTAATTAATGGAAAAACTTCCTTCAACAGCTTAGTTGGAATTGGGTCTAACATACACGTTGATGGTTTAGAAGAGAGAATCATTGAATTTAATTGTTCAAGGTTTATGGCTGAAAAACATTCTAGTTTACTATCTACTATCTATCGCTTTACGCAGTGCTTTCTTAAATTAATTGAGAGTAATACGCCAAATTAAACGAGATTCTTCAAGTTTAGTGGAACGCCATATCCTTTCAAGTTGTCTCGACTTTTGTTTTATTTTGCGGGTTTCGGCCTTATGCCATGTAGCTAATCTATGTTGTTTTATTTTCTTCTTTTTCAAAGGAGCAACAGAGTCTAATTTTATTTGCAGCGCATCTGTAGCACTATCAACAACATGATCAATTTGGGGTGGTGTACGTTTTGTATAAGTTTCCTCCCTTACATGCAGACATGCTATCGAGTTAAATATTGGTGGAATCTCTTCCTTAAAATTGGCTATAGCACTAACAGATAGGTTTCTGTTGCAGGAGCTTTTGACTAATGCTTTGTAGTCTAGTAACAGTACTTCAAAAGTTACTAAGAAATGCGCATTCTGATTGGCGTAAACGAACATCATTACCACCGACGTGAATAACAATCCTACTGTATTTACGTTTATTTTTAGCCAGCAGTTTAAGATGCGCCTCAACGTCGCCCGCTCTGCCCCCCGGAATGCATGTGACTGTGGAGGCTTCGGTCTCTAAATTCACGTGTCTCATAATAGAGCTACCAATAACCAGAGTTGGCTTCTCAGCGGGTGTCTCGCTGAGTGGGGAATATCTGTTAGATACGTGAACGGGTTGGTGGGGACCTGCAGGTTTCGCATTATGCCCCTTCTGAACAGTCACCCAGTCTCCCTGCTGCTCGGGAGTTGCCGGGGGACGGCTAATAGAAGCTACCTTTTGCCGGTCCGCACCGGCTAACATGGGCTTTACTGTAGCTGAGTTACTTTCTAAGATGCGGAGCCGGGCTTCTATGGCTATGATTCCCGCCTCCAACCTAACAACTATACTACATTTAACACATGTATCGGTACCAGTAAAGGAGGTAGGGAAGTAACCAAACATGAGACAGGAAGAGCAGGAAATAACACCCGAGGGTGGGGAAAGAGCCATGGCTAGCTATCAAGCTAAAGTAGCTACCGTTAGCAAACCCGAAAAGAGTGTAGGCAACTGTGGAGTTACAGTCGCTAAGAGAAGGAGAGTTGTGAGTGCTTAAGCTGTAGTAACGTGTGATTACAACGTCAGGCGGTTGCCGTGATCAAGAGTTTTAAACGATCGATTTAAGTTAAGATAATAAGCTATCAGCAACAGAACAGGCACATAGGATACCCGGAGGTGACAACAACAACAACCGGAAGTTACAACATGCTCACCGCAATAGTGGTCCATTAATATCCTCCACATTCCAGTATCGCTTTCCGGGACACACCCCCACACACAATATTGTGTCTGTTTTGATCCGCTCTGTGTGTATTTACGGTATTTACATGAACACAGAGCGGATCAAAGCAGATACATACACCATTTTTTTAGGGAAAACACTGCGGTCCCACAGACAATATTGTAATACATCTTTAACAATCAAGATGGTCGCTTAACGTAGCCTACTACCGTACAACCTGCCTCAGCGCCCCTAAAAGTCGGCACAAGAGTAGACATGCAGAGCCGGACCGACGCAGTAAAGTTCTACACCGCCTGACAGCAGACATGACACAACAATTTAAAACAAGACGTACCGCAAATATGCAGCAAGCTCATCCATCGGCTATGACTCCCCCCTCCCCACTGAGCTCGGTTTAATGTGCATAACTTTGGGCAAGGTTCATAGTTCTAAATATTGTAAAGTGTAGAGCCGATGAATGGGAGTCGGAGGCGGCGTGTTGAGTATGACACTCTACACTTTATTTTCCATTAGTTTACAGAAAGGTAGGAACAACTTCATTACATGCTAGTCAAGCTAGAATGATAACAAACCACAGGTGCGCTACCTAACAGGTCCGTGGCGCAACACACTCTCTATAACACAGTGAATGATGTCCCGTAATGTTCAACCACAAAATCAAGCAACTGCTGGACTTACGCTCTACAAATACTCACACTAAAAACACGCTAAACACAAGTCAATCAATAAAAACTCACCTTATGATTTTCATGGCTTTATCCTAGCTAACACCAGTGAGTGAATGACAATGTTTACAAATGTACAGCTGTATTTACGTTGCTCGTTGTAACGGCAAATGTGAACTCAGCTTTTTGCAAACAATGTGTCTTGTGATAACCTGTAACTATGATGAACATTTGATGATATTCAATCACTTTTAATACATTTGACCTTGTAGAGATCTCCTCGGAACAGAACCAGCTTACTCCTCCGATGCGCGAAGAAAATATGGTGGACCCCTCCTCCCTCCCCCCTTTGTTTAAAAAAGAAAAGCTTCAACATTTTCAAATCAAGATTTTTTCCAATTTGTTCTGCTTTCCATCTTGTCCATTAAAATGCCATATTGTTCAAGTCCAATTACGAAACTATTAGTAGGGTTTTGAGTCCGACCATTTTCATTTGTGAATAAAATATTTGTCAATAATAAGAAGCTGAGTAATCGGCTGCAGAGCAAGCTGCTGACGTATGTGCTCAGTGGGCGAAGTTACAGAGATAAACATAACTTTTTTCTTATTTCTTAACATGATTGAGACTTATAGAATGTACACCCCTCAAGATTAAAATAATTCTACATGATTGATTGATGTTTCGATGAGAAACATGAATAAATTCTGTCTCATATATTAACTGCATATTTGCAAATTGAACAACCCCACTTTCCCCTTTTTTTCAGTGTGGGGGTGATGGTGCATGGGCTGCTGGTGGCTGTGTTGGAGGGAGGTAGGTGTGATTGTCCCGGGTTGATGCCTTTGTACCAAGCAGGGTTTTGTTAGTGTATTCTAGAACCCCGAAGGCAGGAGAGACTGAAAAGAGTCAAGGGAAGCTTATAAAAGTTAACAGCATTTAATTACACAAAAGATGCGGTGGTGTACAAATGAAATGTGCGAGTGGAGGCGCTCTCCTCATCCGACCGGTCAGTCCAGGTCAGCAGGTGGAAGAGGTCAATTATTGGCTTGCTCTTCTTGTTGTCATCTGAGGTCTTCTCCTATTGGCCGGCGTCGTCGGGGGCGGGTCCAATGCAATTCCTGCCTTTTTCTGTTAAATTATATCATTCTGGTGTCTGTGGTTATTTGAACATTCCCTAATAAACGTTATTCAGCGGTAATAAATGAGTGCTAATCCCAGTGTGCTCAGTGTACAACATCACATGTCATTTCACCTTTGATTCACGGTTTGAAAATGCAGCATTTCGCCACATGCTAATGCTAACCGGAAGTGAATAATATTCAGAATAAAAGTATTAAGTTAATAGTTAGTGAACTTCCGGTTTTTCAGAATAAAACTGATTTAAATTAAATAGTGTATTTAATTCAAATTACGCCATACCAACATTGATTTTAATTTCTAACAATCCCTCCTTACATACCCTTTAAGGCAGGGGTGCCCAACCAGTCGATCGACTGGGAATCTCCCCGCGATCAACCGGTCGATCACGGGGAGATTCCCAGTCGATCGCGAGATTTGTCTAAAAATAGAACAACAATATTCTGTTTTATCGTTAATGTCCTGTAACATAATCTTCCTGTGCCAGAATAATGCACTTGAACGCATCAAAGCTTTGTGATTGGCCGCCGTGACCCCATGTGTCGGGGCGTGGCTAGTGGGCAGTGCACTAATTCGCTAACGTTGTCCGTATCAACAGGAGTGACAGTCCGCACACAAACAAGACCGCAATTATGGCAGAAGCAAAACATATATAATTTTCACTCCGAGTGGGAGGATGATTATTTTTATTATTATTATTATTTTATTATTTTTTGTATATTGTATTTATTCCAATTCAAAGTCCATCTGTCTCATCTGCAATGCGAGCGTGGCTTTATCGAAGAAGGGTCATTTCAAAACAGTGCACAAACGCTACGAGACGGAATTCCCTCCTAATTCTGCCCGACGCTCCCAAAAGGGGAGGGGCCTGAAAGGACAGCTAAATGCACAGCAGACCATTTTCACCAGGCCCAACAACAAGAGCAAGGCTGCTACCAGAGCATCTTATCGTGTCAGTCACGTTCTTGCGAAACACATGAAGTCTTTCAAAGACTGCAAAGTTGTGTAAGAAGCATTCCTGGAGGCTGCGACGCGCTTTTGGGGGACAGTAAAAAACGGTAGCATTTCAACAGGTTTTTGATATAATAAAAACTCAAGTTGGATACCGTTATTAATCAGCTGTAAGTTTTAGTTTGTTTGAACTTATTCATTATAATTATTGTACTTATTATTATTAGTAGTAAGCCTAATTTATACTTTTGTAGCAACACTATTTTTATATAATGGCAAAGAAAGGGTTCAGAGTCTTTTCTTTCTTTCTGTGTCATATGTGGCAGCACTGTTCAATGTTTCTTGAAAACATGACCACTGTAGTGACGTGTGAATAAACTCCAACTCTGTATCAACAACACTGTTGTGTAACTTCAGTTAAATACTTGTATGTGTGTAGATTAGAAAGAGGTAAGATAAAGGATCTGCAGTATTTTATGAAGTATTAATCGTACAAAGGTCAGTTTTATACAAGTAGAAGTGTGTATTTACCTGGTAGTAGGCTGTCAGTAATGGCTACATCTCTCTATTTGGACTGGTAGATCTCGGCAGACTGGCAACTTTAAAAGTAGCTCTCGGTTAAAAAAAGGTTGGGCACCCCTGCTTTAAGGTATGTAAATAATATTGAAATCAATTAGTTCTTCATCCGAACATTGCATAACTCATAAAAGTAAAAAAAATACAAATAAGAATACATATTCATCATAAATATGAAGTTTTTCATTTGTGCATAACTTCTAGCTTAAACCTTTAATGTCACTTTGTAAAATAGCAGCAATTAACTTGGTATGGAAAACGTCTAACTCCCTCCTTTCATATCATAAATAATCTTCTTACTGTCTCTGGTGTAAAGGCACTTGTTCTTTTACAAAGTATAAGAAGGATTAAACTATCTGAAAATAGCTAAATATGACTCTTTATTTACTTTTACTGTGTCTCTGGTGTAATTCATGAATATCTGCTGGTTCTAGTAGATATAGTTCTCCCCATCCACATTCTTGTTGGTTGTGGGACAGAGGAATAATAATTCAGAACCTGCTGATATTTGAATCTTACTACTTGGCATATGTTACAAACAAAAAACATCTTCATGGTGAACTAAATAAAATCCTTGTAATCTTTCTCAAATCTAAATATAACAATGAACTATTCCTGTTTGTGGTAAAGACACTCACTAACGTTATGTAATACAATTTCATTATGGATTCAAAAACAACTAAAGTCATGATGCTGTCAGAGTGAATGATTTCCTGAGTGTATCTGTCCTGTAAGGTACGTCATTCTCTGCTTGGATCGTGTGCAGAAATCCCATCGATTGCACCTGGCAATACGGCTTCTACCTGTCTATTATTAAGCTGAAAAATGAATACAGAATTCCAACATACTGTCATCAAATGTCTTTCTATTATGAATTTAAATTAAATGTATATCCCCATAATGAACTAAACAATAAAGTCTATGGCTTTTATTTCTAATTCTTTACCAGGCTAGTTACAATATGTTGTCTAAATTAAATTTGGTCTCATTACATTACTATGTTTTAGCTTAACTTAACTGTAATATGTTCTTTCTACATTTCAAACCTCAGTTACTCTAATGTCTGTTAAAATATTACAACATTGTTTCATTATCACAGGTCAACTTCTTCGGTATTCTATTCTGGAATTACAGCTCTCACAGTAGCCCCTTGGCCACTGCTTCTGTGTTACCTGTTATAATTCAATCAATATTTAGAAACATGTCAACATTCACCAAACAGTATCTTATCCCCAGATATGGAGCAGGTTAATTATAAAACTATCATTCAATGCTCAGTTTGAACATCTGGGTTGGGGCGGAAGGTTTCTGTCAATCCTCAATTTTACAGCCATGTTGACATTATACATTATACACACTCCCCCCTTTTGACACATGAACTCATGTGTAACAAAACCCTGTAATGGAAGGGGGAAAAAAACTGTCAGGTAAATATTGGTTAGGGACATAACGAACATTATTTACAATTTTACATCCATTATCATTATTTCCACAGTGAACACTTCAGTGAAAAGAAGTGTTTCTCTCCGTCCTTCAGATTTTAGTTTGAGTTTTACATTTGCAAACCGCCAACTCCTGTGGGAGTAAAATATCAAGTAGATTAGAAACGGGTCACATGTGCAGTTTCCATTTTTGTGGAATTTTAGGAAACCTCTCGTTTCCCTTGGAGCTCCAAAATAATATGTTAGTCCAAAAACATGCTTGGTTAGTTATTGTTTTAGAATCATGCAGTTACACTGATCACATGCCGACATTCATTCACACTCACACGGTCTGGTTGTCACGTCAGGTTTGGTCAGGTACACCCCAGAGTCAGTCATGGACAGTGCTTTTGTCACACTGTCAGTCAGGGTCAAAGGTCATTTGGTCTCTGTCTTTTGGCCATGTCGTGCTCTGCAGAGTCTTTTCGGAGGTAATTCAGAATAGGCGGGTACCCTTTATCTACAAAAATATATCACCATTCCTTATTCATTCACGATTTCAACTATGATTTTCAAGATGGTTCTAACTTTTCATTGAGACTTCTGCCTCCCACCTTTCCTGAAACTTGGTACAAAACTCACTTCCTTATAGTACTACTACTGCAATTCATTTACACCTAAGTAGTATTAAAATGTCTAATAGATCTATTTCAGAAACTTGTGTACATCACTATTATCTTGTGTCAAAACATTACTAGGATCTGTGTAGCTCTGCTATGCATTTCATAGCTCATCTTCAATTCTGGTCCACCTAAAAAACAATGTTAAACTCTTTAGCAGTGTGTGGAACCTTGGGTGTCCGAACATGCAACAATTACTCCCTCCTTTATCAAGGATTTAAAACAGAAGTCATTTTATATTTCCATCTTAAAGCCCTCCTTTCGTAATAACTATGCTACAATGGTGAAATCAATACTTTAGATTGGAATTGTATATGTGGCTTGGCACCAGCTCTCCCTTTAACATTATCCATACAAATAAAGATTTGTCTTATAGAGTGGTTCCTAAAACTATCCTTTTAATGGTGATCAATATTGTAACAAATGAGATCACTACTTTATTCACACGTGAATACAAATCGCTTAAAGAATGATTTGTTAACATGATGGAAAATATTGAAGAATATGGTTCTACTCTGTCATGTCTCCCCCTTTATCCCTCAGTGTGTTTTAGGATGATTCTCATTTTACTTTAATAGTTTCCTCTTTACTGCTATTTTTAATTTACCAATTGATTAATTCATGGTTAATAAATCTTTCTGTCTTTACGTATTTATGAAGTTAATTCAAGTTATTTAAATGTGCGTTTTGTGAATAAGTGTGTTTATGTGTAAACTCACTCATTCCCGTTCTCCTTTTCTCCTCCCCTGGTTTTCTCAAGCCGTGACCCCGGCCTCCTCACTTCTAATCGACCATGACAACTCCTCTGATTCTGTATTCTCTTCAGTCCATCAGCTGTTGAATCCATCCGCTGTAACTCTTTTAGGCAGCCATTGGCCCAGTCACATCTGCAGCCCCCATCATGCCACTGTTGTTGCACTGCTTTGCATTTCATCTCCTCCTTTACAGTCTCTCTGCTGTTCTTATGGAGGGCGGATTCTGCTCTCATGTCCCACACTTTGCTCTTGTGCCAAATCTCGTGGCTCAGCTTGGAACTTCATGCCCTGTCTGAGGGGCTGATGAGAGTATCTCTCTGTATGTCAGCATGCTGTTTGGTTCTGGATGCCACAGGTGGAGATAGTTCTGGATGTAGTCTTGTTGTTGTTGTTTCAGCTCTGGTTCTCTGTCTGTTCGATGGAGAAGGAGGAGTCTCCTGTTGGGTTAGGTATTTTGTCTGCTTGGAGGGTCGGGATCGTAGCCTTTCTAACTCAGAGGGGGAGTCCAGGTCTCGGGACGCATTACCTATAAGAAGTCTAGCACACTGAGGTTAAATAAATCCAACCCTTTCCACTCTGTCTCTTTCTAATCATACTATCTGTCTTAGTTGTTAAATGCCATCTAAACAACATAATTAATGTCTACTAATGATATTACAAAAACACACTCTAAAAATGGTTTCATCCATTGCTACATATTTACCCAACACAACTCTGAAATACTTACATGTTTCCAGCATCACATATTCCACACACTACGAAAGAACATCTCCATATTTTCTCCAATATTTTAAATCCCACTGTTACTTAGAACAATAGTAAACCTGCAGAGCACACCAATCGGATCACAGTAATGAAATTTGAATCAAGTGTAGGCCTATGTCTACTTTCCACCATACTTATTACTTTTGCTGAACATTTATTTATATTGTCTAAATTCCTTGTCTATGATGTGCAAACAGTTCGAGTGTAAAATGTGTTTTTCTCAAAGTATTTACACTACAGATTCTTGAGTTTACTCATCTCCTGGTGCTGTCATTGTACGGCGACACAATGTGTAAGAAGGTGCCAACATGTTCCTTTTTTAACTTTGATCCGGAGCGCATCTGCAGTGCGTTCTACAACTTCCCATGGTCCACTCCATACAGGTTGCAACAAGTTCATCTTGTGGATTTTTACATGTACCCAATCACCTGATCCAACAGAAATATTCGTCATGGACCTGGCATATGCTTCCGCCTCAATATTTCTAATATCTAACACTGGTTCTCCTCTGTATTGTGAGGTGCTACCTTGTGGTGGATATTGCTGAGTGGGGCAATCTCTGGCCAGATGTCTACAATCTCCACATATGAAGCAGCCATCATCCCTTCTTCCTCTCCATTGTCCCTTTTGTTGATGCTGTATGGGAGTGTATACCTGTGCTTGCGGCTGTACTTGGGTAGGAAGATACACAGGTATTTGCTGTTGAAGATACTGTGGTGCTTGTGGCTGTACTTGGGTAGGAAGATACACAGGTATTTGCTGTTGAAGATACTGTGGTGCTTGTGGCTGTACTTGCGTAAGAAGATACACAGGTATTTGCTGTTGAAGATACTGTGGTGCTTGTGGCTGTACTTGCGTAGGAAGATACACAGGTGTCTGCTGAACCTGGTTTTGTGGACATACACTTCCTCCTCCGCTTTGTTGAACTGTTGGAGGTGTCCGCCCTGCCTTCTCTGCTAGTATGGCCATCTGCTTTGTCGATTTCTTGTTTTTATTAGCTTCGGCATCTTTCTCAGCTACTTGTATCTTCAAAAGTCTTAGTATTAGTGTTTTAATTTCTTCATCATTTTCGCCCTTTGTTGCCTGGTATTTCATATCGTGGTGAATGAGATGTAGATGTATTCTTCAATGGGTTTAACGACTAATCCCACCACGTCTCCCAGGCCTGCCTGCACTGATCGGGGAAGGGCTTTAATGACAGCGTTCTTCCACAACATTACAACAGCCGGAGAAACGTCATGCTGTTCTCCAGTGTAGTCCTCCCACACTCCTTCACATCTCTTCAAGAAGGCATGCATTTCTTCCCCCGGTTCTTTTCTCAGGCTGCTGAGGGCATGTAAACTGCGTGTTGTCGGGTAGATGTGACGAATAGCAGCACAATAATTCGACCTGATATTGTTGAATGAAGTTTCATCTGGGTCGTGCGTGCAATTGGCCTCGGAATCTACTGCTCTTGCCTCTAGTCTTCCTTCTATCCGTCCAAGCAGGGCTCTCACGTCTCCCAAGCACAGGTGGTCTTGGACAGTGTACTTCTCCAGATCATTCACCCACTTCTGACCTCCTTTCGTGAGTGGAGGTAGCTTTGACACTAACGGCCCGTCTACACTACAGGCGTCAAAAAATGCTTTCAACGCTTCGCCCATTCATTTGAATGGGGTGACGTAGGATATTTTCAAACTTCGCCGAACTGCATTGTGGGTAGCTTGGCAAGGCGTTGCAAGCATCGCGAGCATCAAAAGTTGAACAATGTTCAACTTTTGAGGCTCGATGCTTTCTCGAAGCTGGCGTCAGCCAATCAAATCCCGTTTTTGCAATTCCCGCCAGTACAAGCGCTAGCCAATCAAACCGCGTGTATGCTGATCCCGCAGGTCTTGACTATTTTCCATATGTCATAAAATGGAGGACAAATTAATCATTGCCGTGGCAAATGTCCCAGTCCTGTATGACTGTACTCTGTTCACCTACCGGGACCTAAACCGGAGGAACCCGGCATGGCGGGAGGTGGCAGAGACAGTTGGTGAAACTGGTAGGTTTTCAACTGTTTGGGGAGTTTATATCCAGTTTACTTCGTTTTAGCATTGAATGGACAGCTAGTAATGTAGCATAATAACATATAATATATATTAATTAAAAAATATGATATATAATAAGTATAAGCATAATATATAACATATAATACATGCAGAGGGTGTCGTTTTTCTCATACTGATATTCTGAACAATCTGTGCTGTTGTATTTGCTGTAAAGTGTCTCTACTGTAGGCTAATTTTATTATATGTACAGCACTTTGGCCCGACCAAAAATCGTTTATAAATGTGCTATATAAATAAAACTTGATTTGATTCACAGCTATCAAGCATAGACAGTATATTTAGCCAGCATGGAATGTAGCATAAAAATAGCATTCATTAATGGAGGAATAATTTAGTAAATTCAAGAAATTCACTTTATTATTTATTAACTTTATTATTTCATTTCATTTTATTAGATAATGTCTGCAAGAAGAGATGGAAGAGTCTGAGGGACAGGTTCCGCAAGGAAAATAATATGGAGAAGGAGGCCAAAAGAAGCGGGGCAGGGTCTGCAGGGGGGTACAAGCCCTGACGTTTCATGGCAGTGATGGGGTTTTTAACCCCATTCATCATAGACCGTGAGACGTCCAGCAATGTCCCCCGGCAGACCCTGCCTCCATCCACCCTGGTGGAAGAGAGCCAGGTAGACAGTGAGTCAGCCAGCCAGTCCGCCAGCCAGTCCGCCAGCCAGTCCGCCAGCCAGTCAGCAGCAGTCAGCCAGGAGGAGAATGCTGAGGTCCGGGGCAAAACACGGGGGAGGGGGAGGGAGATGTCCCCATTTGAACGAAGTCTGCTGTCAGCAATTACCCAGCAATTGCCCAGCCAACCCCACCAGTGGTGGAGGACGACGAGGACTTGCAATTTTTCAAGAGCCTCTTGCCCACCATGAGGCAGATGACAAGGGCACAGAGGGCAAGAGTCCGCCTCGGGGTACACCAGCTAATTTTTGACGTAGACCAGCAGGACAATTTATAATTTAATAATTTTTTCACACATACTGATCCACATTACATTTTTTTTCACTCATCACACACACTTCACTCAAATTCACCAAATAAAACATTATTTCAAGTATGTTATGGCTATACTGTGTCTTCACTTGTTCATGTGGTTTGTCAGTTGCAACATACCAGAAGCTTCATGTATGTCGGTATATATAATGTGCTTTCTTCTGTAACTGGTCATATGAAAACCTATTGAAATTATGAGTGGTTTATCAGTAAAAACAAGGCTGAAAGAAAAAGGTTGTTAGTCATATCATAATATAATATCAATTCAAGAAACATGTTTATTAGGAATGTTTGATTTTAAAATGGCTCATTTGGAATATTTGCTCTTTAAAGAAAATGGGTAGCTCTTAAAAGAGCTTTTGGTTTGGAGGAGCCATGGTGACCCTACACCACTTTATGCTGCCATGACACTACACCCTCCTCATTCAAATAGGAGCAGAAGGTCTCCCGCAGTTGGATGGATCGGCGTGTGGCGTTGTTTGAGCCCATTGTTAACTGTGATGGTTATTCTCGTGTCCAGGAAAGAGAAGCTTAAAATGGAGTCTGAGATGTTTTCAAATTGGTACTTTAATTAATAAAAAGCGTGGTAAAGTCACAAACAGGATTTGGTCCAACAGAAATACAGCTGTGCATCTGGCCCTTGTTAGCAGAGAAAAGAGGCCGAACCCCTCAGGTTTCGTTGTTTATATAGCCTCTCCTGGCTCCTCCCTGGGGGCCGGCTCTCCGCGTATTTAATGTCCGTTGTTACCGCATATTACAGGATACAGACATTGTACATTCAATATATATCTAAACACGCCTTTTCTTCTCCTTAACTCTTTCATGACTTTTCATTTAACACATTCTAAACGCTGTAATAAATACTCCAAAAAATACAGGAAATCCTTCACAGCAATTTGATTTCCGGTCGTTCCGAATGTTGTGACATGCTACCCACATCTGTAAACGATAACGTACTAAAATAAACTGTACCTTCATTTAATATCCAACAATAATAATATCTCGACGTCTATAGTTGTAGTGTTGAAATCAGTAGGTTTCGGTGTGCAACATCATATCATATCGCTGCTAAATTCACCTCTATAGGAAATTGTATATTAGCCTCATGCTAAATGCTAACCGGAGGTGAAGGATTTTCAGAATAAAAGTCTAACTGGTTGTGCACAAAAACTTCTGGTTTTTCAGTATAAAACAGCATTTAAACTAAAGGTACATTTAAGGTACATTATGCCATCAAAACATTGATTTTAATTTCTAACACCATCATAGGTGCATCGCGCAGGGTTGGAGCTTCATCACTCGGCTCTGCGACGACAGGGACGACAGGTGTGCGTCATGACCTTCCTATTGTCTTCCTGCGGAGGAAGTTGTGTGGCCTTCACACACAACTCTGTTACCTCCGGGCTGGTGGTGATGACACGCCGGAACATTCTCCACTGAGATGAGAGGATGCCAAACGCACATTCAACCACCAACCTGGCCCGGCTGAGGCGGTAGTTGAACAGCCTCCTTTCACGCGTGAGCTGACGTCCAGGGAATGGACGCAGCAGGTTGTCCAGCAGCGGAAAAGCCTCATCTCCAACAAACACATGGGGAAGAAGGCCCAGCCGCTCTGCTCCTGGGATGACGGTGTCAGGTGGTAGCTGCAGACTGCCATCTCTGAGGCTCTCTCCAAAAGCGTAATTCCGCAGGCTCCCACTGTCGCTGCTCCTTCCAAAACCTCCGACATCCACTACCCTGAAGAGGTACTGGGCATCCACTACAGCCAGTAGTACCAAGGAGTGGGTGCACTTGTAGTTGAAGTACAGGGACCCAGAATTTGCCGGAGCCTGGATCACCACGTGCTTCCCATCAATGGCACCAACGCAATTTGGAAAGTTCCAGCGCTCCTGGAACCCAGCAGCGATGGCTCTCCAGTCCTCCGTCTGTGGTACCGGCATGTACTCCTCAACCAGCGCGGTCCAGATGGCACCCGCAACCTCCTTGACGATGACAGCCACTGTTGCATGACCGACCCGATAGCTGAATGCTATGGTCCTGTACGAGTCACCGGTTGCCAGGTACCTGAGAAAAAAGTAATATACAAGATTTTTTTTTTTAAAGTTATACGCCACGCAGACACACACACCACAGGCACACACATCACAGACACACACACATCACAGACACACACACACATCACAGACACACACATACACCACAGACACACACACACCACAGACACACACATCACACAGACACCAACATACCACAGACACCACACCACAGACACACACACACACCACAGACACTACAGGCACACACACCACAGACACTACAGGCACACACATCACAGACACTAGGGATGTGCATCTCCATCACTGAGGCCGATGCGATGCGCATCTTGATACGTTGCCACGATACGATACATTAACGATACATTTGAAACACCAGGCGATGCGATACGATACGATTCACCCCTGTTGCGATACAGTTCGATACGATTTGATTCAACATTATGCGATACGATGCGATTCAACACGATGCAAAAATAATGATACTTCAATATGGTACGACAGAGGATTTTTGTTTTATTCCTTATATGCAGCAAATCATACATTAACAAAAAAGTGCTTTACATATTTGGTACTGCACATCCCATCATGCCGTTTATTTTTTTACCTTTAAAAGCTCTCCAGAGTAAAGTACAATTGTATAACACCTCACAGATAAACAATGTAAGGAAGCATTGCTCATGATTAACAATGTGCAAATAACAGCTACCATAGTGCAATGCCCATACAGCTGCCAGCCTGATGTGCTTAACACTCATCCATAGGCTAACTCACCAGTGAGCAGAAAGCAGTGGTTTCTATATGAACAATAAAGAATACAAATAACCTTTCACAAACAGGTATTTCATAACTGCTTACAGTAAGGAAGACATTTAAATTATTATTGGCCGTCACAGGCTGCTGTAAACTAAACACCACTCTCTCTGACAGAACACCTCACTGAGTGATTTAACTCGTATGTCTAACTTTCAGGTTTCTCTTTTCAGCCGCAGACCCCATGTCGCCTCTTTATGTGCGTCGCTAAGTTCCTCGTACTACTTGTGTACTTTAAAGCGGCTCGGCATCGTTAACAATTTGCGAGCGATTTTTCAAGTTGACCGTCTGTAGTATATAGTGCCGCGCACATATACCATCAGGACGTTACTGATGGGGTGCGGCTGCGGAGTGATACTGTGTGTATGCTAGCCCGCATCTAGGACGGATCTATGTATCATGGCTGTAGACCTGTTAAGTAATAAAGATACCTCATACAAAGGTCTACGGATACCTTATTACTCTCCATGACCTGCGGTCAACTATATAGCATAAAGGACTATTACACCGTCTTTCTTGAACAATCCGAAGTGTTGGCAAACGTTTGATTTGTAGGTATTTTTCGGTGCGCTGTGTTTCTCTTTCTCCTCAACTTCCGTGTGTGTTGATAACTGAGACTCTCGGCCTCCGTAGTGGCGAAGCAAATATCAAAGATCGTCTCTACTGAGCGTTGACAAGATGAGGGGATTTTATATGAATGAATCGGTTTTTTACCGATGCAAAGACGCTACGCAATCGATGCATCGCGAGTTCAACCCGGTTCAACCCAAACTGTAGCCGATGTGCACTCTTTCAACCGGTGCACTCGCATCTTGAACGTTTATGCCGGTGCACCGATGCGAATCGGTGAATCTTAACATCTCTAACAGACACACACACACACACATACACCACAGGCAGACACAAACATCACAGACACACACACATCACAGACACACACCACAGGCAGACACAAACATCACAGACACACAAACACCACAGACACACACACACCACAGACACACACACCACAGACACACACACCACAGACACTCCAACATACCACAGACACACACATCACAGACACACCAACATACCACAGACACACATATCACACAGACACACACACACACCACAGACACACACAGGCCACAAACACACACACACACACACACAGGGGAGCAATACTGCGTTTACCTAGCTATCTTAATTAATGTCATTCATCTGAATTAAATCACAGACTTCATTCATCCATGGCATGCATTCTCTCTCCTTCTATACAGAGTCATATTAAAGAAGTAGAAATACACAAAACGTACCGTAGGCAGATGGCGAGTCGCTCGGCGGGTCCGATTGACAAACGCATACGGGTGTCTGCCTTTGCAATCAGTGGACCGACTTTTCCGAGCAACTCGTCGAACGCGTCTTTGCTCATCCTGAAGTACTGCTGAAACAGTACACCATCCAGGCGGAGCTCTTGGACAAGAACGTGGTATTCCCCCCGTTGCAGACGTTTTCTGAGTATTGTATGTACCCAACAGCGACGCACTATACGTGGCCTCCTGCGAGACATTGCATAAACCAACGCTACCGTTGCTACAAAACCGGCATCCATTTTGGCAATAGTGTAGAAGAACCGGGCTTTTTTTTGCTTTGTATGCTGGGGGCGGGCGGGAGATTCCTGATTGGTTGTTGGTCGCGAGAAAGCGCCAAGCCTCAGACACGCCCAGCTTCAAGCTTTTTCGACGCATGTAGTGTAGACGGGCCGTAATGCTTCCATGTCCCTGTGAGTCCATGATTGGTATTGAAATCCTCCTCTTCCAGCCGCTATCAATGGCATGGAGGTATGCGCACCGGTCTTGGTTCTTCTAGTTGTCTTGGTTCTTCTAGTTTTGGGGCATGTCCCAGGGTAATGTTGCTCGTTTTCGTTGCTACTATTATTCTCAGGAGGAGATGCAAAACTGCGTTGTTGCTGTGACTGTTCATGGTATGGGGAGTGTCTACTGTTTCAGACTGTGTACCGCCGTCGTCATCTTCATTTCCCCGTCCATTGGAATAGTCAGGAGAGTAGTTTGTTTGGCGTGTTCTTTCAGTTATTCGTTCTTCTTTTTCTCTCCTTTGTCTATCTGCCATCATGTCCTGGAATCTTACATCGTCTTGTCGTCTCTCCGCCAGAAGTTGTTGGTATTTATCTTCCTCCTTTTGTCTTTCTGCAATAATGTCATTATGGGCTTCATCTGCCTTCCGTCTTTCTTCAATAATGTCATTATGGGCTTCAACTGCCTTTCGTCTCTCTTCCATTCCTCTGATGAGTTCTGCTTCCATTCTTCTGTTGAGCTCCTCTTCCATTCTTCTGTCGAGTGCTTCCTCTCTTCTGCCGAGTTCTGCTTCCATTCTTCTGCTGAGTTTTTTTCATTACTGGCAGTTCTTCTGCTGCTACCAGCGCCGCCTCTCCCAGTTCAACCTGGTGACCCCACTTGAAATACTCCATCTGATCGGTTCCTCAAATCCCACAACCTGCTCCCTTGACCCTCTACCCACTCCTCTCCTGAAGTCCTGCCTCCCCGTCCTCTGCCCCTATCTTGCTAACCTTTTCAACTCCTCGCTGTCCCATGGAACCGTCCCCTCTGCCTTCAAAACTGCTGCCGTTACTCCAATCCTCAAAAAACCTGGTCTTGATCACTCCTCCCTCACTAATTACCATCCCATCTCCAACCTACCATTCCTCTCAAACTCTTGAACGCATTGTAGCCAAACAAATTCACTGCCAAACCAACCAGCTTTATGAACCCCTTCAGTCTGGATTTCGTTCTCACCACAGTACAGAAACTGCACTCGTCAAAGTCCTCAATGACCTCCTCACCTCTGCTGACACTGGTTCCCTCAATATTCTCATCCTCCTCGACCTGAGTGCAGCCTTCGATACCGTGAGCCACAACATCCTGCTCACCCGACTCAGGGACATTGGTATTGAAGGTATTGCACTCAGATGGCTCCAGTCCTACCTCACTGAACGATCCCACTTCATCTCCCTCCCAAACCACTCCTCTGCCACAGCTTCAGTCACCCAAGGCGTTCCTCAAGGATCAGTACTTGGCCCCCTCCTCTTCATCATTTACATCCTCCCCCTCGGTCAGATACTCCGACACTTCAACCTCGACTTCCACTGCTATGCTGATGACACTCAGATCTACCTCAGCACCAAATCCCTCCATGACCCACATCAATTCCTGTCTGACAGCTATTAAAACTTGGATGCAACATAATCTCCTCAAACTGAACAGCAACAAAACAGAACTCCTCCTAATCGGCTCCAAATCCACCCTCAGCAAGGTCACTAACATAACTCTCACCATCGATGGCACCATTGTTTCCCCCTCCAATCAGGCACGCAACCTTGGTGTAATCTTTGACCCCACCCTCTCCCTCGAACCTCACATCCGCCAAACAGTCAAAACCTCATTTTTCCACCTCCGCAATATTGCAAAAATCCTACCCTCTCTCACCCGCCCCGCAGCCGAACGACTAATCCATGCCTTCATTTCCTCCCGCCTCGACTACTGCAAC